GTGCTCCATCCCCACGGGGTGCGGCTCCCCACGTGCTCCATCCCCACGGGGTGTGGGCTCCCCACATGCTCGGCCCCCATGGGGTGTAGGCTTTGGTGACTTAGCGTTAATGTTTGGACGTCCACACTTTTCTGTCATGCTCCGCGCTCTTCCTGGCCTGGCCTGGCCTGGAGCTTTGTCCGAGAGGAAACACTGGACTTCCCAAGGAGGAAGGCCAGCTGGCTCAGGAAGACCACTGCAGAGTTCCGTCTCCTGGCCACATCGCGTCCCTCTCAGGGCCCAGTTTTGCTAGTGGACACAGACATGTGACCGCTGATTGTGGCGTCAGTGCTCTGGGAACCCACTGGACTCTAGGTCCAGGGAGGCAGAGGGCTCTCGGGCTCCTGGGGCGGATGCAGACAGCAGTGGGGCTTTGGACTGACCTCAGCTCCCTTCATTGTCAACGCGGCTGCCGTTAGAGCTGTACTGAGGCCGAGTGGGAGAGCACAGGAGGTCAGGGACGGAGTCACGCGTTCAGTCCCTGTGCAGTTTCTAGAAAGTTCTTACTAGAACCGGTTAAGTTGTGGTGCTGCGTTAGTTAGGCCTGGGGTGGGAGTGGGCGTGGGCCTGAGGGCACCGTGCTCCGTCCCTCACTGGTGCCCGGGGCAGCGGGGCCTGGCCTTAGCTGTGTGCGTTTCTTGCTGTGTGTGGAAGCGGGTCAGAGTGTGCGCAGGTCCCAGGGGGTCTGACAGGTGCGCGCTCCTCAGAGGCGGCGCTGGCCGCGGTGCTGGCCCTGTGACCTTTGGGTCCAGTCTCCACACTTGGACATGGCCGCTGCCCTCAGTGCTTGATCTCCCTCATTCCCACCTTGGCGTCTAGAGCTGCGGGAGGCCCAGCGGCGGAAGAAGCAGCTGGAGGAGAGGTGCCGGCTGGAGGAGAGCATTGGGAACGCCGTGCTCACCTGGAACAATGAGATCCTGCCCAACTGGGAGGCCATGTGAGCGGGCGAGGCGGGGGCCAGGGCCTGGCAGTGCAGGGAAGACCCGGGGGGACAGGGCAGGAGCCGGGGCCTGGCGGTGCAAGGAGGACCGGGGGGACAGGGACAGGGCAGGGGCCGGGGCCTGACAGTGCAGGGAGGACCCGGGGGACAGGGACAGGGCAGGGGCCTGGGCCTGGCAGAGCAGGGAGGACCGGGGGCTGGGGGGGACAGGGACGGGGCAGGGGGATGCCGGGGTGAGCAGGGCAGGAAGAGAGGGAATGAGGATGGAGTAGGGAAGGGGGGATGAGATGGACAGGGGGACAACTGGGGGAGGTGCCAGACAGTGACAAAAGAACAGGGTCCAGGCAGGGGTAGGAATGGGAGGTGACCAAGGGTGGGGGCCACAGGGCCCAGGCTGAGGTGGGAGGGAGATGACCAGGGGAGGGGGTTACGGCCTGGCGGGACACCCTGTCCCCCAGCTCTCAGCACCCACTTCTGCAGCTCCCCTCAGCCCTCCCAGGATACATCCTGTCTGTCCTCCCAGTCCAGCTACCTGGGGCTCTTTAAGCATGAGTCTTTCCCTCACTGTGGACAGCTCGGAGGCTCTTGCCATGTCCCTTGGTTTAGTGGGCAGGGAAGTGGGGGGTGCTGTGCCACCGTCTCCTCTCTGACCCTCTGCCCACAGATCTGACCCTGACTCTGGACAGGCACCCTGGCTCCCAGGCCACTCATGCCCGCGGGTCAGCATTCCTTCTTTGCAGACTCTCAGTCCTGCTGTCCTGTCCAGGTGGAGCTCCAGGAAGGCCCGGGACCTGTGGTGGCAGGGTATCCCACCCAGCGTGCGCGGCCGCGTCTGGAGCTTGGCTATTGGCAATGAGCTGAACATCACCCACGGTGAGCACCACTTGGCGCGCTGACCTCCAGGGGAGAACTGACCTCTGGGGTAAACCATCCGCTGTCCTGTGGGCAGGGCCCGCCGCTTTCCTGTTGGGAGGACCTCCAAGGACCTGCCCGCTGCCCTGTCGGGAAGGACGTGGGCCTCTCTTGTGCCGTGGTTTGGGTGTGGGGTTTCGAAGCAGAGTGACCGCTGGTCGTGTCACTGGCCGTCGTTTGCTGTGTGATGTCCCTGCCTCCTTTTCTACCTCCCCTTGCTGAGCAGGGTCGGGGCAGATGCTGCCCTTCTGTCCTCAGTGGCCAGCTGCCTGTGGGGGCCTTGCTGCCCCTTAGAGCAGCACGTGACCCCCGTGGTCAGTCCAGGCTGGAGGGGCAGCTGGGCCAGGGTCCCTGGTCACTGACTGCTGAACCTGATGGCGGATTTACAATTGTGCGTTTCCTTCTGCTTTCCCCCGTCCGGCGCCCGTAGTGACCCCTGGTCACGTGAGAACTGGCAGGACTTTCTTCACGTCTCAGCTCACAGAAGCTTCCATTCCTGGGGCCCATTGTGTTAGGTCTTCAGGGAGTGTCCCTGGTCCTCTGAACAGAGCCTCAGGGAGGCCGTGGGGAGCACAGGGTGTACGCCGTGCTCACTGAGACTCACAGATTGAAAAAGTGCAAACTCCGTACCCCGGGCACCGAGACCATGGAGACTGGTGGGGGACCTGGAGTGTACCCTGTACCCCTGAGCACAGAGACTCTCAGAGATCATGGGGGGACACTGGGTACCCTGTACTCTGAGCACAGAGAGTCACAAAGATCATTGGGGGACACAGGGTGCCCCCTGTACCCTGAGGGTGGAGACTCACAGATGCCGTGGGGGACACCAGGTGCCCCTGCACCACGAGCGCAGAGAGTCACAGAGATCACTGGGGGACACCAGGTGCCCCTGCATCCCGAGCAGAGGCTCAGAACGTTTGCTTGCAGAACTCTTCGACATCTGCCTCGCCCGAGCCAAGGAGCGCTGGCGGTCCCTGAGCACCGGCGGCCTGGACGGCGAGAGTGAAGGTGCGTCCAGCCCCTCAGGGATGCTCCTGTGCAGTCGGGGAGGGGTGAGCGCCCCACATGAAAAGGGGCTTTTAAGGGGCACGAGTTTGAAGCAGCCGCTACGGCAGCGGTGTCCAGCTCAGGGGGCAGTGTGCCCGTGTGCTGTAGGGGCGAGAGCAGGCTTCCACAGCTGTGTCACGCACACACTCTGTCCTTCGTGTGTGTGTGCTGGACCTCAGAGGAAGGTCCTGTTAGAAAGGCTCCTGCAGGCTCTGCTGGTGGGTCTCCACGTCTCTCCTGCCTGTGTGCGTGCGTGCCTGTGTGTGGGCATGTGCGTGCCCGTGCATCCCGTGTGCGTGCGCATGTGTGGGCGTGTGTGTGCCCCTGCATCCCGTGTGCGTGTGTGTGTGTGGGCATGTGTGTGCCCCTGCATCCCATGTGCGTGTGGGTATGTGTGTGCCCCCACAGCCTGTGTGCGTGCATGTGTGTGGGCATGTGTGTGCCCCTGCATTCTGTGTATGTGGGGGGGCGTGTGTGTGCCCCTGCATCCCGTGTGCGTGCGTGTGTGTGGGTATGTGTGTGCCCCTGCATCCTGTGTGCGTGTGTGTGCCCCCACCGCCTGTGCGTGCGTGCGTGTGTGTGCCCCTGCATCCCGTGTGCGTGTGGGTGTGTGTGCCCCCACAGCCTGTGTGCGTGCATGTGTGTGTGTGGGCGTGTGTGTGCCCTTGCATCCCGTGTCCGTGCGTGTGTGGGCGTGTGTGTGCCCCTGCATCCTGTGTGCGTGCGTGTGTGTGTGGACGTGTGTGTGCCCCTGCATCCCGTGTGCGTGCGTGTGTGTGGGCATGTGTGTGCCCGTGCATCCCATGTGCGTGTGGGTATGTGTGTGCCCCCACAGCCTGTGTGCGTGCATGTGTGTGGGCATGTGTGTGCCCCTGCATTCTGTGTGTGTGTGGGGGCGTGTGTGTGCCCCTGCATCCCGTGTGCGTGCATGTGTGTATGTGTGTGCCCCTGCATCCTGTGTGCGTGTGTGTGCCCCCACCGCCTGTGTGCGTGCTTGCATGTGTGTGGGCATGTGTGTGCCCCTGCATCCCATGTGCGTGCGTGCCTGTGTGTGCCCCTGCATCCTGTGTGCATGTGTGTGGGCATGTGTGTGCCCCTGCATCCTGTGTGGGTTTGTGTGTGGGGGTGTGTGTGCCCCTGCATCCCGTGTGCGTGCGTGTGGGTGGGTATGTGTGTGCCCCCACAGCCTGTGCGTGCGTGCGTGTGTGTGCCCCTGCATCCCGTGTGCGTGCGTGTGGGCGTGTGGGCATGTGTGTGCCCCTGCATCCTGTGTGCGTGCGTGTGTGTGGACGTGTGTGTGCCCCTGCATCCCGTGTGTGTGCGTGTGTGTGGGTATGTGTGTGCCCCCACCGCCTGCGTGTGTGTGGGCGTGTGTGTTCCCCTGCATCCCGTGTGCATGTGTGTGTCTGGGCGTGTGTGTCCCCCTGCATCCCGTGTGCATGTGTGTGCCCCTGCATCCCATGTGTGTGTGGGGGCGTGTGTGTCCCCCTGCATCCTGTGTGTGTGTGGGGGTATGTGTGTGCCCCTGCATCCCGTGTGCATGCGTGTGTGTGGGCGTGTGTGTGCTGCTGCATCCCATGTGTGTGGGTATGTGTGTGCCCCCACAGCCCGTGTGCGTGCATGCGAGTGTGTGGGCGTGTGTGTGCCCCTGCATCCCGTGTGTGTGCCTGCGTGTGTGTGGGCATGTGTGTGCCCCTGCATCCCGTGTGTGTGTGTGGGTATGTGTGTGCCCCCACCACCTGTGTGCGTGCGTGCCTGTGTGTGGGCGTGTGTGTACCCCTGCATCCCGTGTGCGTGCGTGTGTGTGGGTATGTGTGTGCCCCTGCATCCCGTCTGCGTGTGTGCCTCCGTGCGTGCGTGTGTGTGGGCATGTGTGTGCCCCTGCATCCCGTCTGCGTGTGTGCCTCTGTGCGTGCGTGTGTGTGCCCCTGCATCCCGTGTGCGTGCGTGTGGGGGGGGCATGTGTGTGCCCCTGCATCCCGTGTGCGTGCATGCCTGTGTGTGCCCCTGCATCCTGTGTGCGTTTGTGCATGTGTGTGGGTATGTGTTTGCCCCCACAGCCTGTGTGCGTGCATGCGTGTGTGTGTGTGTGTGTGCATGTATGTGTTTGTGTGTGCCCCCACGCCTGTGCCTGCAGCCTGTGTGTTTGTGTGAAATTTCTGTTTCGACTGTGCCAGTTCCTCCAGGCAGGCGTTCATACCCAGGAACCAGCCTGTGGTGCGTCCAGGCCCTCCTGCCTTGGGCCAGCACAGTGACCTCAGCAGCACAGTGACCTCAGCTGTCCCTACAGATGCCGGCTTCCCAGCGGCCGACAGAGAAGCCAGCCTGGAGCTGATCAAGCTGGACATCTCCAGAACATTCCCTAGCCTCTGCATCTTCCAGCAGGTGGGTGTTTGTCAACCGCTGATGGTGCCCGACTGTGCATGGCCACCCTTGCATGGCCAGATTGGGGTGAGGTGGGGGTCTCAGGGTGGCAAGCTCGCTTGCTGGTCACGCAGGTAAAGCTCATGGTCATGCCCGGTCTCCTGTTGACATTCACGTCGGAAGTCCTTCAGCGCACTGCAGAGTGGTGGAGGGCTGGCTCACCGAGTCCCCTGACTAATGAGCCACCACCTGCCCTTGCTGGACGCTGGGGCAGTGCCCAGTCCTGGACGGAGACCGTGGGGCCTCAGCACAGAATGGGACAGAGAGCCAGGTCGGAACCGGACACTGGGAATGGAGCCTCGGGTGCTGGATCTGTCAACAGACAGGCTCCCCAGATTGACAGACTGGGGCTGAGGGGGCTGCTGCTGTCCTAGAATGCGGTTCTAGAATGTTCTAGAAACCTGGAGTGGACACGGCACCCCGTGTCCTGCATCACAGTCCAAGTCTGGAAACAAGGGCTTTGGACAGTCAGAGACTGGACCGGTGGTGCTAAGTCTGTGGTCACTCCGTCCTTCCTTTTCCTCCAGAGCTAGGCTTGACCTGGTGTGCTGCTTCTCCTGGGCACCCTCTGTAGTTCAGGGGTCCTGTCCCCCCGTGGACCCTCTGTGGTTCGGGGGTCCTGTCCCCCCATGGACCCTCTGTGGTTTGGGGGTCCTGTCCCCCCAGGGGGAGTTTTATGGTTGATGTGCTTTTTGCCCCGCCCGTGTCTCTCCCCCGTCCCTGCTTTGTGTCCCTGTTGGGTGTCTAGGAGCTCGGTTACAGGAAGGGAGATTTGCCAAGTGACCCTGGCAGCCGCCCTGGTTGCTTGCTCTGAGGACGGCTGCTGGCCCTGGGCCCAGTCTCGAGTGGTGGTCACCCTTTGCTCTGCTCCGTACTGGCCCCCAGACCTCCGCGTCCATCTCAGCAGGTCCTCACTGCCCTCGGGGAGCAGGTCCTGTCTCCTTCTGAGGGGCAGAGCTCTCTGTCCAGGTCACTCCATGCTCGGCCCTGGTGGCTGGTCTGGTAGAGAACCCGCCCCTTCCCACACACCTGAGCATGCCTCTGATGTGCCCTGTGCCCCAGTGTCCACACACCGGCCAGGCCTCTTGTTCTCCACACGTTCCTGGTGCTGACCAGGTATCCCGTAAATACAGCTTATTTACTAGCGTTAAATAATTGCGTGCAGGGGACCCACAGAGCTAGACACGGCCAGAGTGCTGGCTGCCCAGGTCGCAGGAGAAGCGGCGCCAGGGTGGCTGCGCAGCCAGCAAGCCTGGGTCCGTCTCTGACCCTGTGTGGACACGGACCGGGGCCCGTCTCTGACCCTGTGTGGACACGGACCCGGGCCCGTCTCTGACCCTG